AGTTAATTCTGGTTTTTATAACCATTTAGTAAAATTTGTATAAAACTGTACAGTCATGTTTACCACTTGCTCAGCAAAATGGTTTATTGTAATACTACACTTCATGCTAAGTGAAAGACAAGTTGCCTGTGTGCTTCCCTTCCCCATCCTAGGTAAGACCCCTACTTTCCCATTCAAAAGCAAAAAATTGATAGCCTAGGGTAGGTACATAAAATACAGTTCCATAGGCTGAAACAAGTTAAAGAGGAATTCTGCCCATCTGAACTGAATCAGGATTAAGATCAATGCTGATGAGAGGCAGCTCAATGGCAGTAGAAGTCTCAAGAGGATAAATAAATATCCAGGTCATCTATTTTATAAAAATAGGCCTAACATAACATCACTAACAAGTTCAACTGAAAACTTCATGGGTTTTGCAACACAAATTGAAGCAGTTCTTGTGAGAAGCACAAATGTTCTCAGTGCCTGCTGGTAGACTTAGATGCATATAAAACTGATGGAGTGCTTCATAAGCGTACTTTTAACAGTAACTCTATCTCAAGTCACACATCCTGTTATGACCAATAGCTACAGGAATGTGACATAACACACAGTGGAAAGCAATACTATTGACTTGCTTTAGAATTACTGTAGTTTCTGTAAGAGGTTTACTTTCAAGCCTTTCACTAAAGTAGTATCTATCCAATAATACGGAATCTAAGAATGCAATTTGCTGTGCCTGCAAACAACCGCAGTACAAAGATGGTCCAACATACTTGGTAGGCAGTCCAACTTGCGAGTCTGTTGTATGTGAAGACTGACATGATTTTAGAAAGAACAGCATGTTGTAAGTGTATACTTATATATTCCAGGTTAGATCTGGAGTGCTAGTAAGCTGTACAAAGTAATTAGACAGTCTTTGCTGAACTGTTTTATAGTTTTTGGCTTGGATTATTGGGGTTGGTGGATGCACAGTTCCCAAACCATCCCCTCCCTGTATTTATTCTGCAGGGCAGTAAAGTGGGATAGGTGCTCTCTAGAATACTGGTCCTTGCAGAACCAGGCTTAGCTGAAAGCTGTCATAAAGTTTCTCTAGTGTCTAGAAGGCCTCACAGCCAAAGGGCTGCAAATGGGAAAGAGCATTGCTACAGCTTCCTTTGCAAATACCAGGGATGTTATATACATTTATTTTTTTTTTGTAAAGAAATACGTGCAGTGTGCACACACCATGTAACCTGGAATTCTGCCCCTCCATATCACTGCTGCTGCAGAACTGGGGTAACATACCGTGGTTCCTCAGACAAATGCCCTTCAGAACAAAGCATGCTCTGACTTCATGACAAAAGATGCATTAAGAAGTTTCTGTAAATGTGTACCTAGCTAAAACATCCTGAACAGTTCGTGGGTTTTCTTGCCAAAAAGCTCACCTTATGGTTACTTATCTCTTGTGCTGGATGTGCCTTGTAATCAGATGACATCTTACTGGCCATAGGGTAATTTATTTTTCTTTTTTCCTGTCTAGATTTAACAGAAATTCTCCAGTCTTCTCCCAACTCTTTGGCCTATAGGTGCTCTGTAAGTAACACAGGCTTTATAACATACTCTGTTCAAAAATTAATTTTAACTATTTAAATTGAAGTATTTCTCAGTGAACTATATTGTTAGCTGTTGCCCTTCTTTAAGGGCTCTTAGCACCTCATATATCTGATCTGGCTACTGTGAAAATAAGGTGCATTTAACTGCTATTATGTGTATGAAATACACAGTATATATTATATACAATATAGTAACAGCGTTACATATTCAAAAATGTTGTCTGTCAGCTATTTAGATCACTATTTGCTATTGGTGCTTCTTAAATGTGATCTCAGTTTTCCAATACTAACCAAAACTAATTGCTGTGTACAACATGAACTGAGGTGGAGTTATAATAGGGATCAGCCAAACCATTGCTTAAGGAAAAAAAATTGTATTTTTCCCCTCCTCCTCACTTCTCCTCCTGCACTCAGGTTGTGGTAGCCAGGTTGTCTGGTAGCCATTTGAGCACTGGCCTTACACCTACTGGTAAATACATTCTCCAACAATGGAATTAGACATATCATTCAACAGTTACAACAGTTTAATGTCTACATCACACTTTGTTTCATTCCACTACCAAGACTTCTGAGTGTTCAAATTTTACATAATCAGAAATGCTAATTTTTTATATTGCTGCAACAAGTTTTTAATACTGCAGCTGTGACAAATCAAATGATGCAGCCTTATCTCTATGTCCAAAGTAGGTTTTAGTAACCAGTGGACTCTGCAATCCTTTTGTTTTTTTAACCTAGATTGGCTACGGGAATGCAGAACAGTCTAGGTTCTGAGCAGAGCCCTCTAAAAGTGTAATAGTTACATCTTCAGGAAGTACACAATGCTGTTAATTACAGTATTTAAATAAAACAATTTCCTGGCAAAAGGAAATGCAGTTTTATAAAGAGAATGTAATTGGAGGAGAAAACAAATTACAGAGAAACAACATAAAAATCAGAGGTGGAATGTATGGATTTATACCCATCAGTAATATTTTCCACATATAGATATAATTTTGTCACAGATTTATAAAAGACTACAAAGTCCCATTGTTAATAGCAAGATTAGAAAAATAAAAAATTAAAATTAAAAAGATTAAAAAAATAATACCTTGCAAAGAAATAAATTCAAGCCTTCACTGAAAGAGTGAAGAAGCTCTTTATGATATGATACCTGGAACTGCAGTTTACTACAGAAGATGGTGATAAAACTAAGAAAAATGAAGGAGGCTTTAGAGCAGAATACAGTAGCCAGACTAGGAGTCTCATTAGGGATTTTTCAGAAAGTAAACATGAATCATTACCGTGGCCAGCAAATCATTCTGACATAGTAGAAGAACATCTGCAGAAACAATATTCTAGGTATGCAGTATGACTTTTTAAATTAGTTATTGAACACTACTATGTTGCTCTTCTGATAACTAGGATTACCTAGTAAGTCCCTTGTAGAAATGGAAAAACTAGCTTTATGCTAAGCAGTTGATAATGATGCACAAGGTTTTTCTGACTACAGCTGTTGTCCTGAGTAACAAGTTAACAGGCCAGTTCATTTAGAAATAAACTGAATGCCTTTTTGAGAACTGACACTCATCTGGAAGTACTTGTTGGTGAGAGGTGATTTACAGGCTGACATTTTCTGATTTTGCTTTCTCACTATTGAAGGGGATGCTGTTTGTTGAGTGCGCCTCCTGCATCCTGCTTTTGTCATTTACTGCTTACTGTCCTACTTGGGGAAAAAAAAGCCACAACCAACCAAACAGGAAACTAAATGCAGAACCTACTATACTGAGTTGTAGCTGACTACTAGGTGCTCTAACTAGTTGTGAATGCTCTAAAGTTCTGAATTAGAACTTAAGACGTGTTTCTATACTATGTAAGTTACCTGGACAATAAAAAAGAATCCAAAGTTAATGTTCTGCACCAATGTCTTCTGCAGGGTAATTTAGTTCTACTTTTTTTTTTTTTTTCCTAAGGCAATCTTTCTTTTCATAGATTGTGCAATACAGTAGCTGCCTCCGTAGAGAAAGAATATTGTGATATAACTAGGAAACAGATGGGTGTGCTGGATATATTGGCTTTATTTGCATGTTTTAGAAATACATTTTGTGAAAAGCTTAGAAAAGTTACCTTTTCCTCTTTGTTTCTGACATTATATATAAATGACTTCTGCAAACAAGTGAGGCTTGATTTATCTGCTTTGATCTAGGCTCGATTTGAGATGTCTAAAGTAGAAGACAGAGAAAGACAACAAAGATGGTTTAAAGTGTGGTGAAATATTCAGATGGGGGAACTACCCAAAATGAATTAAAATTAGGAGTTTGCTTAGGATGTATATGAAAATTAGTGAGATCTCACTTCAGTGGTCAAAAGCATGAATAGCTCTGAATGCCAGTGTGAAGGTGGTAAATGAACTTTCTACAGAAAAAAGGATTGCTAGAGTTAGAAATTTGTTATAACTGTGATTTATGTGGCTATAGGAAACCTGTTAAATTAATGGACACAGGCATCAATGTTCAGTGACTGACTAGATGTTTTTAGTGGTCTGAGTTCATTATAAGAGCTCTGATAAAACAACTTTCTATAGGCATGCCAAGATGATTGTTCAGACAAATCAAATGTTGGTTTCTGTGAAGAGAAAGCATCAGCAGTCAAGAAGGGAATCCTCCTGGTGCTATAGTTAATCGCTGGCTCAAGAGTGGAGCTCATTTCTGTGAAGCAGCAAGTGCTGACCATTGCCTGAGACAGTCTTCTAGACAAGGTAATTAATCTAGTTAATTAATTTTCTGATCTGTGATGTAGCAAATTGTGTATTCCTAGGTTTCACCTTTTTGACTGGTTTTGAAGCAAGCATCACTTCTGTATACAGAATCACAGAATTGTTTAGGTTGAAAAAGACCCTTAAGATCAGAGTCCAACCGTTAATCTAATACTACCAAGTCCATCACTAAACCATGTCCCTAAGTGCCATCTACACCAGGTCTTTTCAATACCTCCAGGGATGGTGACTCAACTACTTCCCTGGGCAGCCTGGGTAAAGACATTAAACAGAACTGGCCCAAATATGTTGCTTTCTAAGGCTTGTTCTGCATTGCTTGTCCATGTGAAAATCTTGTTAACATGTCTTGCCACTTTTGAGTGTGCACAAGAAGCAATATTACTTGCTAATGAAAATCTGTTCACAGCATGCACCTGGAGGCTATGCCTAGGAACACCTTACTGCCTTATTCTTTTATCTTTTTTCTCCTTATGGATGAAAATACTGTTCCAACATAGCATATCATCTAGAAAACTAATGCAAAGAAGAAAAGTTCACGTTATTACGCATCAACCTTAGCACAGGGGATACTTAGTTATTCATTTTCAGCCAGACAAATAAGAACCTCCTTTTGGCACAATTAGAAACCCCAAGATTTTATATTTTCCCTAGGAAAGACATTTCCTGCAGACATCTTAACAGATTGCCAAAGATTTATGGGGTCTAGATGAGAGAAAATATGTATTCCTATTTCTTTGTGAGGCTTAAATCTTACTAAAATGTTAACTCTTTTGGAAAACAAAAAAATTGAATGACAGTTTTACTTCTTGTGTGTGTGGTGTATTCAATTAGTCTAGATTTTTCTAATCAGAGTGCTCAATATGAAGGCTTCCTAACTAATTTTAACCCAGAAACTGAACTCTTTGCATTGTCATTATATGCTTATGATTAAACCAATCTCTAGAGACGAAGAAATAAATTGAGTGCCAACTGAAGGAAATTAAGAAATGAATTTGCACTAGTATTGCAATCGATCTGCATATTATAACATGGGAATTTAGGCTGGGCTGTTTTGGACTCTGGTCAGAGTATCTAGTTACTTAAAATGGCTTTTTCTCCAGTAACCACACAAACAGTTAGTTGATGCTAATTGATACTGGGAAAGCAACCTCCTTGCAGCTGCTGCACAAACCTTGCACAGTTTACACAGCCAATGGAAATAACCTATTTTTTGTCTGTTATACTGAATATTGTCCCTGTCAGGTTCAGGATACCAAACTTGATGGCCTGGTCATCTCACTAAGTAACAAACTTTTTTCTCATCATATATATAAATTATGGCCTCCTGATTTAATTGCCTTCCAAGTGAACATTTTCCTCAAGCATTTGCATCTTGGTTTGTAGGGTGTTTTTTGGTAGCCAAAACTTGCTTACATACATATTCTTGTTTCCGCTGGAATTAAAGATGCAACTTGTACTGACTTGATCAGGACAGAGTTTTGTTTTCACTTGGGAAATTAGAAATAATATTATGTTTGCTAAAGATAAAAATGATTCCATCTGTCTTGCAGCTGAGGAGTGCAGAGACCAAGAAGTGACTGGTCCAGTAATGCAAACAAAGGACTAAGAACAGAGCTCAGATCTCCCAAAACCCAGCCCTTTTATTTGGGAAGTGTTGGTTATTGGTCAAATTGTAGAAAACATTCTGGATTTGGCCATTCTTTTGCATAGATGTCATTATAATGCCATGCAGTACCCTGTCAGCAGCAACTGTCATCTGTGATTTTTGGATGGAGCCTGTCTGGATATCTGCAATTTGGAAAAATCAGGTGGAACTAGAACAAATAATTTCTTTGTAAATAAATGTGGTGTTTAAAATTATATGCTAAAATATGCAAATAAGGTATCTGTTTTGAAGGGAAAAAAACATGGGTATGTGTTAACTTTCTTCTAAATTAATTCAGCACAAGCGTCTTTGGAGCTTAAATGTAGTCCTCAGGAGAATAAATACTGCATAATGCTATATGCTGGGAAAGACTTGAAATGCACCCATTAAAAGCTTATTTTACTGCTGTATTGACACACAAACTTTCTAGCTGACAAGTTCTACACCTAATTTGCAAGGACTAAAACTTGCTACTAGAAAACTACTCCAAATAGAACACTGAACTTTTCCAAGGAAATTTTGGTTACTGCTAACCTACAGCAATAACTGAAAGCAAATTTAACACCAGCTGTTAAAATACATTATAATAGTATTTGTATTTACTATTTTTTCTGCATTTATTTTGCATATACATTTTCATATTTAAGTTGAAGTCAAGTATTCAAAATGGAGAATGATAACGCTTTCAGATTTTTGTACTTCTAAACAATCCTATCCTGCATTAATGGGACTAAAGAGTTTGTAGGCTTATAGTAAGACATTGTTCAGAGAGTATAAAAAATCCTTACTCTAATACACCTGCGTGTAGAGAGTGTTCAATATGACAGGAATACTGGTTAAGTTGCACATGAATTAAGGACAAATTTACTAGTGCAAAACAAAAATTAAAACACTAAGTATCACTTTCTCATGTCTAAGCAGAACAATGGTTCAGGTTCCTTGTCCTCCAGCTATAACACTTTGTGCAATTATCCAGTTAGCTAAAATATTAAACACTGGCAAGTTAGGGCAATATTTGACCAAAGACAGGTAAAGAGTTGCAAGGTACAGAAAAAACTGCTGCTGATATACTGGACCCATAGACCAACACTGCATGGGGGCCCCTGAGGCTCATGGAAGTGCTCTTTTGTGGTCGAGGTTTAAAGCTTTACACTTGTCAATGGTGGTTATTTAAAAATCAGATAACCTCAGTAAAAATACAGGGCTTAACCTAGTCTGTTGGCTCAATTAATTGAATAATTAGGCTCTGTTTCTATGTTTCTCCTGCAGGATCAAAATCTCTGTTTCTTTTAACAGGATCAGGATCACTTACTGTTCTGAGCTGACAGGCAGACAAGCACTGCATAATTACATAGCTGTGTGGCAGCACAGCGTGTCTTATATTGCAAATACATACTGAGTGTATTTGTGTCCTTTGGGGTTAAAAGTACAGCATAAATTCAAATTCCTGACAAATTAATGATGCATTTTTTCTACCCCAAGGTTCTCATAATGAAAGAATCTGAAGAAGTTCATGGGAACTATTGTTCTTTTAGACACACGACTCTACTAAAATTAATCCCTCCTGTACATCGATGTCCTTGGATAACGTACGGGTTGAGAACTGGGAGAGGACATTAGAAGGAAACTGCTGTTTAATGGTGTTAGCCTCCACTTCTGAGGAAGGTATGCTCAGCAAGGGGGCGTATGAAATTGGTACAGAGACTCTTTGCTTGCTTCACAGGCCTCCGGCTTAATCCTGCCATGCAGCTGCACCATGCATTTGCTTACTTGTTTGGGGTGTTGCTGTGGGTGATGGTTCTGGCTAGCAGTAGTACTGTACATCCTCTGACTTTGTAAAATAAATGCAAGGAAGAATAATTCAGGATGACTGTCTGGCAAAGGCCAGAATATGTAGGAGGAATAAGATGTAAATACTTTCATTAATTTTAAGGTCTATTCTTTCTTTACATAGCTACATAGACTACTTAACCTGTCTATTACTTAATACCTATTAAAATGAGATCTGAATCATTACGTTTATCTGTGGAATACTGTAACTGAGTAACTAATTTGCTCATCTCATTTGCTCGTCTGTCTTTCCTTCTCCTTCCAAAGCAATTCCTACTATGATATTTGGAAAATTATACATATGGTAAGTAGAGTTGTCAGCAACAAATTTTTATTTACAGCTTCTCAGGAAAGCATAAACCACCCACTGGAAGATTCCTGTGGACACCTCCAGCACTAACTAGAATCAGTTCTCTGTAACACATAAAAGCTATGTTAGCATCACAGGCAGATGCAAGTGTCAGTGGATAAGGGTACACAGTAGTGCTTGAGCCCAAGCTTTGCATGGCCACTCCCTCCCATGAGGGCTATCCCTACAGATGCATACTCTAATCTTCCTATGGCATCCACACTGGAATTTTAATTACATAAATTAACACAGCTTGCTGTATTGAAAAGAATTCAACATGGAACAGACTTGAAAGGATTAATCTCTTCAGTTTTTAGCTCTGCCTCATGTCCTTTCTTATACCTCTTTTTCCACTGAGCCCTCACCTGTCATGTTTCTCACAACAGCAGTGACAGTGCAGCTAGTCTGGTTAAAAGCATAAGAAACAGCCACACCTGCATCTGCATATAAACATGAACACACTTCAAGGTAAAGAGTAATTACAGAAAAAACATCATCCTTTTGCCTTTTTTATGCTGTTGAAGGAGTCCTAACGTTCCATAAAGTATTCTCTAGCTGATCTCTGCCACCTGGGTCATGCATGTAGACATGAATTTCACTCATAGGTCAGGCATTGTGTCGTGCCTGCCTTTCTATCAGCAAGAAACCTGAGTAATCAGGCTGGAGACTGAGAAACTTCCAAAAAAAAACCCCAAACCAATACACCTCCTCCAAAAAACCTGACTGAAGCATTTAGAATGTTCTATTTCTTAGTACACAGAACAAACTTAACGGTATCAGATAGCTCAGAAGAGCATGGGTTTGGCCATAGTGTCTACTGAAAAATGTCCCAAGGAGTTTTGTGTCCAGGTGCACTGGCCTCCATCTCCTACGTTTCAGCACCTTCCTTGTTACCCCAACAGCCCATGGCAGACAATCACTGCGGCAGCCTGAGGATGGCAGCTTTACTGAGCACATGGGCAGTGACTGCCATGCACATGTGCTGCTGACATGGTGCTTTCTGCAAATGCTCCGTTTCGCAAGGGAGCAGGCTGCTTCTGCCAGCACGCTGCATGTGCACCTCCTCCTTGCCATAAAGCACTCACAGGGTGTGAGCAGGATTGTTTAGTACTAAATAAGGGGGACTCAGTGGCAACTGAGGTTAGGTTTCACTTACTTCACAGTTCATGATGCCAGAGCAGCTTCCTTGATATCATGTTTATATTAATATTTTAGTAGAATTCTGACTTTTATTTCTATGCAATTCTTGTCTCTATCCTCTCTGCCTTGTGTCGTTTCTCATGATCACTTATGATTTTGCTATAAGGTCTAATTTTGTTCTGATTAAATGAAAAAGTGGTGAGACAAGACTGATCTAGATGAACTATCAAACACCTAGAAGACTTTTCAGCATTAAAAATATACCCAAAATAAGCATTTCTCTAAGAGAAGACTTGACAAACAGCCTGAACAATAACATTCTTGAACACTACTCAGCTGATGGGAATCTTTTCAAGGCTAATTTACATAATTTGCCATAATTACAGTTATAATCTCTTGAAGAAGCCTTGGAAGGAAGTGTGTAACTGAATTTTATTTGGTCTCATTACATTTGGCAGCTTTATAAAACCAGGAGCCTGGAAATTTGCTCAGCTAAATCCTGATTATACAAACACATCATACAAACTTTGAATGCTCAATGCAAGTTTGTCTTGTACCAAAAGACACAACCAATCTCTCAAGGCCTCTGTCCAGTCAGCCAGCATGATGTGTAATGAAAAATGTTTGAAGTACCAGTGGTGGTTCCTTCCATGTAAGTGTCCCTCAAATCACTATTCCATTCACAAGGTAGCAGTGGACACCTGAATGCCTGACTCCAGCTGTTTACCACTGTTAACAGGTAGCCAAGTAATTTAAAATTCTAACACCAAAGAAGGTATATTTTTTGTAAAGAAATAAAGTTTGATACACATATACACACGTGGCTGTATGTGTACATACACACACTTCTAATGATACAAATATGCAAATTAAGAATTAAGTAATTCTGTAATAGATCTACAGAAACAAGAACGTGTCCACTAGCTGATGATAAGCCCTATTTCTACTTTCTCTCAGTACATTTCAACATGTGTGGAATGCAGGGCAAACACTGATTTCTGTGGGGAAATCTAGTTCAATTAGTTTACTGTACTCTGGTTGGTAAAGTCTGTTTCCCATTCCCTTTCTGAGGCAATTCTCCACTTGCACTGCTGTACTTTTAATTATCCGTATAATCGGACAGTCTTGTTGAAAGGCTAGAGAATCCAGAGAATTTAAAGCATACTTGCAGTCAAAGGAAGTTGCTATAAAAAAACATGGTCAGCATCTACATTTTAATTTATATTTCACAAACTTCAAAACTACATAAGCATCAATGCTTACAGTCCTGCTTATTTTCAAGAGTTCTGCTCACTGTATAATATAGAAAAGAAGTACCAGAGCTTTAAAAGAGTAACATAAAAGACTCTCTCAGATAGACAGCTTCCAGTGATTCACAGAAACTTGTCACCAAACTAACGGGAGCATTTCAAATGGAGTTCATCAGTTGATCCTGTCAAGCCTTGGTTACTTTCATTACCTTTCTTCTAGCTTACAGAATGTACAAAGGGCTGTGTACCATGCTGTATGTTGAGTGATAACAGCATTTTAATTGCATTGGCATTAACAAAATTCTTTCTGAACAGAAAGCTTTTAATTATTTCATTTGTCTCTTAATTTATCGTAAGGAAACAACTAATTAGCTTTCACTTCTCCTGGGTGGAAGTTTCTTTGTAGAAGACTGAAGTACTGTCCATTGAATCTAGTTTAACATCACTGTAGCTTTACTGGGAGATCATATTTGAAACATGGAATGGAAATACAGACAGAAAGAAAATAAATAACCTTAATTAATTAAATACCATTTTTTAAGCTTTAAATAATAAAATTATCAATGCATTCTACTGCTGCCTCCTAAACCAAATCTAACATCATCAGTATTACAAAATACACCAGTATCCTGGAGCAGAAACCATTAATTGCCACCGAAGGATTGGGTTACAGGGAGCAATCCCTAAATAGGTGGACAGTACTAAAATGTTACTGAAATATGATTTAAATATGTTAATTATACTCTTTTAAAATGGTACTATCAGTGCACAGACAGCCACAATGAGGCCCCCCTTATGACAAGACTACTGTTAAAATTTGAGAGAAGATGTAATTAAAATTCTGCCCTTGAGGGGACTGAAGGGGAAAGCTGGGATGTCTTTCCAGGTTAGGGATTTAAGGTCTGCTGCTTGAGAGTTACCCTAAAAGACAAAGATCTGGATTACTTCAAACATAAATACAAATTATATTAATAGTATGCCTTACTGATTAGTGTCCAAATGACTCTGCACTAAGATAGATGCTGAACTGTATTACCAGTGTCCTAAAATATACTTGTCATGGCTGTTGAAGTCACATAAAAAGAAACTAATGAGTTGGCAGAAAAGGTATTTGCAAACCCACGTGGACATTACAGAAAAATTAAATGCAGGAATAAAGTTACCTTAATGGTGAGCCTCAGCCCATGAGCTGGAGTACATAACTAGATTTGTAGGCTCAAACCTGCTGAGGAGCAACTGTGAGCAGTCAAACTTGCACTAGCTATTAAATTTTTCCCAGAAGCTAAATGAGGTACTTGGTGTACGAAGTACTGTAATTTTATTTATCCAAAGCAACTGACATGTCAGTATCTGACATGGTTAACTTCCAGTGTCTTAACTGGAAAATCTTTCCTTCCTTTGAGAGACTAAATCTGAGTATCTTTAGCTTCTAAACATCAGAACCTGGTTTGTCTTCAGGGTAACCTATATCCCTCTGTGGAAACAGTGATACACTTTGAGTCACTTTGCTTGTCTTAGCTGAACCAGACAGCATGATCTCCATAAGCACTGCATCACAGAGCATGTTTTCTAGCCCTAGAACTTTTGTAGCTTCTTTATAGTTCTCCTTTGTACTTCTCAATCAGTTAAGAAGTGCTGGCACCAGGCCTGGACTCAAATGTCCAGCATTCTTACCACTGTGAAATCACTTACCAGCATTTACTTGTGCCACTCTGGATCTCTCTTTCACACACACAACACGTTAGCTTTTTAAAGTAAGGAACATGCAAAAGTAGCTCAATATGAGGCTGTAATTACCAGTGACCTACCACCCCCTTTTCTGAGTTGCTACTTCTAAATAAATAACCGAACAATAAGCTTTCTGTTCCTTGTTTTTAAATAGGTTATTTTGTATTTGGTTATAAAATAACTTATTTTTTGTTTTTTTTTTCTTTTGATTGACAGAGTTCTGCAACAGTGATCTGCCTTAGAAACAAATTATTCATTGTGAACTCAGAAAATAAAATACAAATTTTATAACTTCCTGAGGTAGGGATCAAATGCAAACACAGCTTCCTGGCTCTGTGCACAGAAAGCAAGGCTAAATCTGATTCTAGTCTGTTGGTGAACAGATTACTCACACTTCAGATACAGAAAGAGAGCTTTAGAACTTTCTGAAATGCCTGCTGAGTAAGCATTACCTGAGTAAACTGCCAGTAAAGCTTCATTCTCTTGGCTTTGGCATAATTGCATTCAATGAGCCTGGGCCTGCTGTTCACATCCACCAGGCATCTGTTGTCATCATCGTCGATAGTGGGACTCAGAACACCCACATGGAGCTGCTGATTGCTTGTGTAATAAACATTCTGCAATAGGAAGCACAAACAAGATTTGTGGCCTCTAGACAGAAGCAGCACTTTTACCAAAAAGCTAATGGCAATGATAAATATGCTGCATAGCAGTAGGCTGACCCCATGGTGGCTTTGAATTATTTCCTTTAATGCAGGAAGCAGCACAACACTTTAAAAGTTGTTCTAAATTAACAATTAGTTGTTAATTGGTGCCAACAAGCAAATGCTGGTACGTGATAGGAAATATGCAAACACAACTCATTGTTGTCTCATCATGTGCCTTTTAACTTCTGTTTCTTATGGTCATGCACTGTGGGTCTCCAAAAAGTAAGATACACACTCTTCCTGCTACTTGTAGTAGGAAGTGGGAATAGTTTGAGTATTGCCATCAACTCTGATGAGACTATTTCATCTGACTGGAGAGGTAAGAAGAGAACAGAAGCAAAGCAGTTCATAAGAAAGGATCTCAGTCTTTTATATGACAGACAGAGAAATGAAGATTTTATTAAAAAAAAAAAAAAAATCAAGCTAAACCCCGAATTTGAGGCACCTGCTGACCGGAAACCAGTATAAACAAGAAAAAGTTATTAGCATCTGGTGACAGACAGATACAAGGCAGGAGAGAAAACCAAATGGCCATGGTTTGGGTTATTCTCATATTATTTTTTACATGTCAATCACACAGATACAAGAGACTGGAAAAAGGGACCAGATATGGCTGCTCTGGATTTCCAGCTGTCATAAGCCTCAGTAATTACACTTAGGGCTGAAGGCATGAGGCTAGTATAGTTCACAAATTCTTTCTACTCCGTTTGGCTACAAATATATGTGGGAGGTTCCTCTAGATGAAAGAAAAAGAAGGGGAAGGAAGGTGAGCTTGCCAGATAGTCAGTAATGTCCTCTTGAAGATAACATGTTACATACACACCCAGAAAGGTAACACAGGACTATGCCAGGATTGTGTTTGCTAATCACAACTACTACTTACTTTGCTACAATCAGACCTTCTTCCTGGGAGGACCATGAAAAGATGAAATGGCAACATCATATTTCAGGTGTAAGGCTTTGACAGCTCCAGTGGTATCAGAGTCACAATGGACAAGAGCTGACAGAAGCACCAAATTAATGTCCCTGTCATTTACTGTACCCATTCCATGTGTCTGTAACAAAAGGGGAGCTGGAAATCATGCTGTGTGTATCTGGAAAACTTTCCTGTTCCTGGAGGTTGATGGTACTATCTCCCGGTATCTGTTCATTGTTGACATTGTAGCTTATTTTACATGTGTGTATTCTTATTTGTGAAAAGTCTGATAAAATATTGATTGCAGTAGGGGAGAAAGCAGAGAAACAACAAACCAGAACTGTGGAGAGATTTGGGAGCTTCGTGTAAAAAAAATAATAATAATAATCCCACCTTTGAATGCTGAAATCAGTCAATGCAGGGATTATATAGAGAACAAAACAAATCATGGTGTTTCTGTGTAAGACTGTGTCCTCTGTTCATTCTCCTGTAACACGTCTAGGGAAGATCCACAGCAGGTATAAACTGACATAGTTGCACAGAAGTTGATGTTAGTGATTTAGACTAATCAAATATTTGACCCCCTTCATCAAGTTTCATGCTTTTCAACCCACAGAAATAACAGCAATCTGAGGTGGCCGAAGAGAGATGAATCTAGGTTATCTTATTGCTGAAAGTCTGAATAGAGAAAAGTTGAATAGTTCAGTCATGCTCTACAGAAGAAGAGAAGGGTAAATAAAAGCACCTAGCAGAGCACATTTCCAAAACGCCTGGTTATTATGGACTGAAGTAAACTGTACGAGCTGCAGAAAGACTTAAGACCACCACACCCCACACTCCATCCACAAGTTAGATAATTAACATTCTGCAAACAAAACTGATTCTTTAGAAGAGCAATAAACATTTGGAATGCACTTTCTAGACAGAAACTATTTTAGATACTGCACCTATTTTAGATACATTAAAGATCTATCCAGATACTTTTTTGGCGAGAGATTGAGGTAGTGATATAGCAAGGCTGTAAAATCAAGATAATCTCCAAAGGGGATTATTAGGACGTATTGACTGTACAGGTGAACATTTTGTTGCACTTCATTTTCCTCTTACCTAAACTTACTACTAGAAAATGAGAGGGAAATTGACAGTTATTTGCATTTCTGACTAATTGGAAGTGATCTGTTAATTCCATTTGTTCAGCACATTGTCACCACACAAAAAAGTAGGAGAAAAATTAGGGGGCTTGCTTGGTTTTTTTTTTTTGCATTTTGTGTTCTTAAAGATACACATCAGTCACAGAAAACAAATAAGCACTCTTGGCTGTAACTCTGAGAAGTGCCAAACTATAGCTTCGGGTTGCTTGTTCAAAAAAGTGGCGTACCTGCAGACCCTGAGGGCTGAGCTGTTTTTATTACTCATTCTCATCAGCCTTTCACAGAGTGGCCTGAAGGCTCCACGTAATCATTCCATCTTCCTGGATAAAGCAAACCCAATTCCACCAGCTTTTTTGATGTCAAAGCAGCAGTGGTTCAGCCTGAGCATCTTTCTGGGCAGAAGCAGAATGACAGCTCTGGCTGGGGGAATTACTCAATTCTGTTTGTTGGCAAAATGGTACAGAAATGAAACAATCAAATGCAATTATGCTTAACAGATTTAATTAGCAGGTTGTTGCTTACCTTCAGGGAGTTCACCCTACCTGCTAAGGTCACTTCATTTTTCAATGTGGACCAGTTTAGAAAAAGAAGTGTGAAATCTTGTACTCACACCTAGTACTGGAAAAGGCACCTTTGAGCTCCTAATCGGCATGTAAAAATAAGCTCAAACTGAAATGGATGCTGGAACGGTAACAGTCTGCCTAACGAGGCTCTTTCAAGATGTTGCTTTGCTTATCTGGTAATATGGATATAACTTAATTATTCTAAATATTATTATAAATATTTAAAATCTTATCCAAGAACACCATACATTACTTTAGAATTGAAAACATTGCACAACATGGTAATTTGACTACTGTGTTTTTCTAACGGAGGGATCACATCCCGTACACTTGCACGTACACTTGAGCAACACACTAGCAAACAGCAAGGCATAGGTTAGTGTTGCACCTCTCCAGAAAACTTTTCTTAAAACTTATGAACAGTCCCTGGCTCCTTTCCCCCAACCCAAGAATGAAACAGTCCCTGCACTGAGAGAGCAGAGTAGTAACTATGTCAGGATGAAGGGAGGACATCCATTTGGTATAACAGAATTAACTATTAACAGTACCAAGTAATGCTTTTCTAGTCTGAAACTTAAAGCTATTAAACACAAAATCATGGTACACCCTCCCTTTAAATAATTTCATATATTAAGAAAAATATTTTACTTGGTTTCGCATTATATCTCTCTGTTTCTATTTGATTATTCTAATTTTCTAAAATACTACTTTATTTCTTTCCCTTTCCCCTCCTGCCATGTGGTTTAGTTATTTTTGTGTTTCTTTTTTAGTTAAAAGGTGGTATACAAATTACCTGTCTCGGGTGGGCTGCAGGAGATTAACCACCTGAGCTATATGAACTGAATTATCATCCCATAATGTACTTCTTAAGTAAGACATATAGATGAGGCTCTCAGTGACATGGTTTAGTGGTGGTCTTGACAGTTGTGGGGTAATTGTTGAACTTGATGATCTTAAAGGTCTTTTCCAACCTAGTTGATTCTGTGATTCTATATATGACTTTTTATTGAATATATTTTAAACTGACCTTCAGGTAAAATACGATCTTATGCATCAAAACCATGCTCATGTTTTTATGTGTAGCCCTATAAAAAACATTCTGTATTGTGAGTTAAATAAGCTGTTAAGTAGATAAATGCCCACAGCAGTACTTCTTCAAGAGGATGCTTTTAACAAGCATCAACGACTATGTTAGCTGTTTTACAAACCACTTCAGCACAAAATGGACAACTGAGGCACTTTTGTTCAAAACACTTCAGAAGATACAGGCAAAACACATTTTACCAGCACATTTGCTCCTACCAGATTGTAGCATCACCATCAACTAACAGTAATTTTGCAGTAATTTAGGAAAGTGATTTTTGGACAATCACTCCAGGTACTGTCTTGGAAGTCCAAATGACTGAATGTGGACTATTAAATGTGGACTATTAAGTCATTAGGGTAACTGTGAAAATTTTCCTCAGAACTTGGACCTCTCCTTTCTGCTACCACAGCAAATGTCATAGCAGTGCTTATTCAAGGGGCTGGAGACTCAGTAGGCAAAAATCTGCTGAGTCCCACTGAAGTCAGGACAGTTGCTGTATGCTGATTTACAGCTTCTTTGCACTTTCATTGAAGATGCAGCCTCAGCAAAACACAACCACACATTTTCCCATCACCATCACATACACCCTCCCTGAGGAGCTACTGAATTTCCACAGAAAGAATCCAGCTTGGATGTTGGTATACCAAAGCACATGATTTAAATAAACCAAAACAAGTAACTCCATTATTCTGTAAAAGAATAAGCCTCCTTACATTTCACTAGTCTGTTCTAGCCCACCGCACTTCACCATCTTGTTTCTTTAGCTCTAACAGTACAGCTGTGTCTCCTGGGGAGCTGGAAGGGAGCACCTTTGTTCAGGAAATCAGCTAGTAAGAAGGCACTTACCTTCTCAAAAAGTGACACTGCAAGGATTCAGGATTACTTAGAAACTCTGTAAGAATGTAGTCAGGATTAGTGACCCACAACGTGTCAGCGAGAAAGTGGGGCCTGAGCCATAGGCACTTCCACACCTCTTTCAGCCACTCCACCAGATGATTTTCAACAGTGACTGAGGGCTGTTCACATGCAGATGTGCTGGCTCTGGAAGGTTGCCACTGCCCACCTGCCTTCCCTGCCCTCACTGAAAGCAGTGCCCTCAAGAAACTTCCTCTGGAAGCCTGGGGATCACAGCAGATTAAAGTGATGCAAAAGAAGTCGTTCAAGACAAAACCCAGTGTTACTCTGCTTTCAGC